TTTTTATACTACATTTATACATTTTAAATACACTAACCTCACTCCTTTGTAACAACTAAGGCAAAAATGTAATTAACTCAGAAAATATTTTCAGGACCCCACCTTGATGTTTTGGGACCCCACTTTGGGTCCCAACCCCAACTTTGGGAAACACTTTGGCTCTGTGTTAACTTCTGTGTTCTTTTTTATTACAATAAACAAACTCAGATGATTATTCTAGGAAGTGCCTTTTTTATTGGATCATGTATTTTTGTCCTTGTTAAATAAATATTTTCCTCAACACTCATTGTTAATTTACATTCCAACTTTCACCAATCTCGATCAAAAGAAATTGGTGTCTGACATAAGCTTTTTTTTTCCAGTTTGGGTTCAGCTTCAAAAAGAGGACGAGGAGCTCGCTCGTTCATCTGCTGAGAATATTTTTTATTGGAGTCAGCTGAGTACACATCACTACTGATCTGCTCAGATGTGATGTTGTGGACTCACTTGCAGTTGCATTTGTGTGCAAAAGCCTGAACAGTTCACTTATAGTTGAGCTGGAGCAGATGTCAGAACCTAAGCCTTGTTTACAAGCTGGTTTTTCATTCATCATAACCAACAACCAGTGCAAAATTTCAGTCTGCATCATTTTTGAACCTTGTTTTTTTTTCTGCTTTGCAGAGATATGGATACGGTGGGTTCGTCCAGCTCCACCATCACTGCAATGTGAGTCACTTTTTCTTTGTTTTATCCTGATGAAACAAGGACATGGGAAGCGTTTCTTTGCTGAGCTCACAGAGGGATCACACTTCATCATGAYTGAATACCACCCAACGTCTCTGTCAGGCTCAAAAAGCAGCACAGTGCCTCACTGAAATATTTACTTTAAACATGTTTGTAACAGAATCAAAACACTGGAAATGGGCTGATTTACAGYATAACTCACAAAACTGTAATATTAAACATTGGATACTGTGTAAGAAGTAATTACACATATATTAAAACTGTAAATATTAGGTGTTAATATGAGTTTCAACAGCTCCATTACTCTCAGAAAGGAGCTTCAGATGATCTGTTRGAATCAACTCACTGCTGCCCTCATGTGGATACACTGTAAATGTTKTGGGGTTCTTTTTTAATATAAATTGAAGTGATGGGTGGTGCTGATGTTGTGTTTCAGGGTGAGGCAGAGATGATGAAGGATGGGAAGCTGTTCCGAGTGATTCAGGAAAACTGCTGGGACGCAAACGCTCGCATACAGGATATGGATAAACACGGTGAGTGGCKCAGTCACGACTGGCACGGCGGCGGATCTAGAATTTTTCTGAGTAAGGAGTCATCAAGGGGCCACAATATTCATAGAGGGGCCAAGTATTTGTTCAACATCCTTGCACGCAAATTCAGTTCGGTAAGATGTATATATTTAACCTGTCACACATGTTCAAACACTTTAAAAAAAAGCTTGCACATTAAATTCTCCTTACCAGTTTTACATGCATTTTTACTGTACATAGATAAAAGTCTCTCAAACACACAGGATGTGAGAAAATCCAACCATTGTTTATGAGTTAAAACACTTTTTCTGCGGGATTGTTCAAATTTATGCTGGACTTCTTTCTTTCTCCTCTTTGACTCATTAGCTTCAAACATGTTCAAACATGGAACTGCATCCAAYATCATCTCACTTGGGCAAAGGTCAGATGAGTGACAGGACAGGGGCACTTCAGGGGGCCAATCAGATTTCAGCAGGGGCCAATGCCCCTGTGGCCCCGCCCCTAGAAACACCCCTGGACTGGCACAACAGCCATCACCTTTTACAAAGAGTGGTGACAAAACTAACAGCCAACAACCTTTTTGTTTTGACAAACATTCCACTGCAAACAGTTTAATAAGTAATTTAAACTTATAATGTGCAAATGAATTAGCTACCAGGTATTGATTAATTAGTTTTGCGTCATTTAATGTGTTAGCAGGACTTGTCTAAACGTGATATTCATCTGCTGCAGGCGTCACAGTTCAGGCCCTCTCCACGGTYCCTGTCATGTTCAGTTACTGGGTCAGTGTTCACAGTCTTACAGCAAATTCAATCTAATATRCAACAAATAAAATCGATGTGCTTTTATTGTGTTGAAGACCTGAAACCACACAATGATTACTGAGATGAATCTTTTGCCATGTGGCGGCAGGCCAAACCTCATGACACGCTGGATCTCTGCRTCCTTTTGAATAACGATTTGGCCCAGACGGTGCGCAGCCACCCCAGGAGGTTTGTGGGCCTGGGCACGCTGCCCATGCAGGCCCCGGACCTGGCCGTGTTGGAAATGACGCGCTGCGTGAAGGAGCTGGGCTTCCCCGGAGTGCAGATCGGCTCACACGTCAACAACTGGGACCTCAATGCATCGGAGCTCCTTCCTTTTTACGCTGTGAGACATWGAGCAACATCTACACACATCAGTGCTAACAGCTATGGAGGACCAAAACTTACATAATTAGGAATAAAAGCAGAAATATATTAATGGTCCAATAAATAAAGAAATATACTAAAACACACCAAATAAATTTAAAAAGGAGAACTTTACCTCATGTTTTATAATTTCCTTGACCTTCATWCTTACTTTTCCAGCTTAGTTCCAATAAATTATATGTTTTAGCACATAATTTACAACTTTAAAGTTTAATTTAAAACAAAGGCAAAACAGTAAACACTTACCCCTGTCATTGTTTTAAACTAAACCTTAAATTTTAATCCAAACTGAGGCAGCAAAAGCATGCACAGTAGATCTGCACATGGATCCTGCTCCTTCGTGTCTGTCGACCAATAGGAAAGGAGCTGACCCAAAAAGGACCGCCCACATTATTTGCATAATAAGAAGGAAATGCATAAGTTCAGGAGACAGAGAAATATAAAAGCAACACATGGAGACTTTTTTGGGGAACAAAAAAGACAATAATTAAATACAATCATTTAAGAGACACAAATGCATGTACAAGTAAAAATAAAACAAATAAATATACATTTTAAAAACAGTGAAATGTAAATTATTTGCCAAAATACATAATTTATTGAAACTAAGCTGGAAAAATAAATGTGAACATCAATTAAATTATAAAACATGAGGTAAAATTCTCCTTTTTTATTTAATTGGTGCATTTTCAGTGCATTTATTTATTTATTGGTCCTTTTAAATGTTTCTGTTTTTATTTCTAATTTCAGTCCTCCATACACAGCATCTTGTTATGTAAATTTCCCTTTGTAATTTTTTGAGAAAAGCTGATTTGTGTGTTTGGCGTGCAGGCAGCTGAGGAGCTGGGCTGCTCTATATTTGTGCACCCGTGGGACATGCAGACAGACGGGAGGATGGCTAAGTATTGGCTGCCCTGGCTGGTGGGTGAGGGAGCAGGAACAGAAGATATTGATCTGAAACAAGTCGTATCACAGCTCTGCTTTGTTGTGCAAATCAAATTACCATAAACTGATATTAAATTCTTTGTCTTTTAAGCATTATATAAGTACACTAATAATGCAGTCTTCCTTTTTTTTGTTGTTTCCAATCCAAAGGAATGCCAACAGAGACAACCATGGCCATTTGCTCAATGATATTTGGCGGTATCTTCGAAAGATTTCCTAAACTGAAAGTCTGCTTTGCTCATGGAGGTACAGCAGAGGTCATTTTTAATTATTCAGTAAACCATTAAAGTAAACCACTGGCTGGTCTCGTTATGGTTTTTAATGTTTATTTGTTTGTTTAGGGGGTTCTTTTCCGTTCACTGTTGGCAGAATTGAACACGGCCACAAAGTTCGTCCTGACCTGTGCGCAGTCGACAACGCGATCAATCCAAAGAAATACCTCGGCTCTTTTTACACTGATTCTTTGGTTCATGATCCAATCTCCCTGAAGCTGCTCGTTGACGTCATTGGAAAAGTGAGCTTGAATTTGTCATTTAATCAACAAACAGGTCAGGTTTTAGCATGAAAAAGGAGGGCTTCTATGGAGAGTTTTGCCGATACTGAGTGACTGAGAGAAATACTTTAGCAGCCATTAATAGTTTAAATCTGATCCTGATGCAACAAAGTCAGGTTTAACAATACTATCAGGAAATATTGCTGATTTGCCAGATTTTCTTTGATGTTATTGCCTGGATCCTGTTTTTAGGATAAAGTGATGCTGGGAACAGATTATCCATTCCCACTTGGTGAGCTGCAACCTGGATCACTGATTGAGTCGATGGAGGACTTTGAAGACACACTCAAGGTATGTTCTTCCCATCTCATTCTTTTAGTGGCAACAATTTAAATTAAACAACAAAGTTGCACAAATGACAGAAAAGTACTACACATGCTTGAAAAAGTAAAATGAAATATGTGATCTTTTAAAACCACTTGTTAATTTATATTTTGCTTTGCAGGACAAGCTGCTCGCTGGAAATGCACTGGAGTTTTTGGGACTCAAACAAGAGCATTTTATGTAACATGATTCTCAAGAGCAACTGCAAAAACTACCGTTAATTTAGGCCTTTTTACCAATTCAATTACAAGTTTATATTAACATGGCTTTTTGCATATAGAGCTGCAGAGGATTTAATTTTTTTCTTTATTTTTGTTGGTGTAAGAAGAATTCATGTCAACCTGGTGACCGCCTCATTGACTTAATGGAAAAAAAATCCTACAATATGGGCTTGTATTGTTTGTGTGCAAGAAAGGTATTGCCTACTTTAATTGAGCTTTAAAAAACTCATATTGTAATAGTAATATTAATTGGTGCAAATGGTTCGGATAAAAATCATGTGCACATAATAGTGTATACCAGTTACAGTCGAGATATTTTTTGTATTTCCTGTGCTAATGTACTAAAACCTATTCATTCAGTAATAATTGTTATTAGTTTATATTTTCCATGAATAAAAGGTGCATTTTTGTTTTAACTGTACCTTAAAAAGGTATAGCTTAGACAGTATGCTGATACAGCTGAGAAACTGTCATAATATTGTGAAACTGACTGGCATTAAATATCTAGTTGACATTTAAAAATGAGAATTGGACAGGATGTATTCAAAATAAACTTTAATCTTGTTTGTTTAATCCAGTATATTAAATAAATTTATTTTTTAATGCAAACAAAAATGCAGCTGATTAATTCATCCATTTTTTGTGGGGGAAGGGAGAGAGAGAGACATCTTCACTAAGTTTGTTTTGCATAAATTTATAATGGGTCATTACCAAGTTAATAATTTATCATTTAATACAAATTTATGTTTAGGATTCCAAATATAATTAAAACCAATGTTAAGTTAGAACATATCAGTAAAACATGTCGACAGAAATGATTATGGTTTGTTATTAAAACAATATTATTATGATGAGACATGGCAATAAATTATTTAAATCTCAGATTCATTTCTTCCACAATTTATTTATTCTATTTAAGACATGTAAATAGGCCTACATCCAGGGCTTTTTAGTTTTGCTGTCGTGTTCAACTGTGAACTTCTTTTTTTAATGGTCAAAAGTTGCACTTTCTGTAAATTAAAAGAACAAAAATATGAGCAGTCTTTTTCCCCATAGGGTTTATTCTTAGAGAAATATTTTCCATAACATTAGTTTTGATTTTATAAAACTTGGTAATACTTCATTTTATTATTCCATAAATAAGTGGTTATTTTTTTAGTGATAAACAACATCACATAATTGAATAAATATAAAAAATAATTACATGATTGCAGATTATGGGAGCAGCAGTGACGGTTCTTTGACACTAGGGGGCAGAAAAGCACAAACCCGCGCGGTGTTTGTTGGACGGGACACAACGTCACATCCGCTTTCTCGATGCCGAAGTGATCGTTACAGAGTAATGGCGGCATGCCGGGGCTCTTCGTCGAAATTGTATTTCACCCGGGAGCAACTGGAAAACACGCCGTCCCGCCGCTGTGGAGTAGAACCGGACCGGGAACTCTCCTACCGACAACAAGCGGCGAACCTGATCCAGGATATGGGTCAAAGGCTCAACGTGTATCCTTTTCTAACGCATGCTAACACTGTGGGCAGTTAATTGTGTGGGCCCCGTCAAATACCAGCTATCTTACCATATGCGATTTTACGAAGAAAGACTATTTTAGTTTCATAAACTTTTTTATTGTATATAACCTTCTACTATACTTGTTAGATATGACTGCTTGAATCTTCGTAAAACGTAATTTGTTCATGCGCTAGTTTAGCATGCTAACTCTGTTAGCGTCTCTAGGCCATCAGCCAGGCGGGTTGCTGGTTCATTGGGAATTTAAATACGCCTTTAACATTAAATTATGACTTAAAAATAATTAAAACCACCACAATGCCGCTGTTAAATTACATAACGGTTGTGCTTTTTGTTTTTAGGCACGTCAGCGTGTTAATGTCAGCAATGTGCTGTGAGTCAGTTGCGTACTTTCTGTACCTTTTGGCTCAGCAGTAAACTTTACTCTCTTAATAGTCTCCTAATAAATGGTGGTTCAGCGCCCTGTTGCACGTGCCTGCATTATGTAATCTACTAGTTCGGAGCGCACGAGGGAGTGTTGAATATTTGAGCTCGCTTAAGCTTCATTGGGCTCTAAAAAAATGTTTGTTACTAGAATTTTGTTCATGTTAAACATTTTAATTCTTGGCTAGCCATGTGTTAGTTTGTAACAGTACCAAGCATGCTGGCACAATTAGTTTCTCAGAAAACCACACAAAAAACAGTCCTTTTGTGTTTCTCTCTTCCCTGTTCCCACCAGACCCAGCCGAGACAGATGACCACCGGTCTGGTTCTGCTGGAGGGATCTTCCTGTTAAAAGGGAGTTTTTCCTCTCCACTGCTGCCAGTGTGCTGCTCAGGATCAGAGACTGTGATGAAGTCATTCATCGCAATCTGCTGGCTTCCTTGGATGGATTTTTATTTTATTTTTTTAGTGCACTGAGACGTTTTGTTGTGACTTGGCGCTATATAAATAAATTGAATTTAAAAACTGCTGACACCTTGAATCTGAGCACACTAGGGATGTGTATTGGCAAGAATTTGGCGATACGATACATATCATAACAGAGGGGTCACGATACGATATATCCCGATATATTTCGATACTGTAAAAAAGGCGATATATTGCGATTTTTTTGGCCAAAAATTCTATTAAATAAAAACCTCTTACTGAAAAAAAAAAGAAAAGCTAATGTTTACTTACAATGCTAACGCTACCCTTACTCTCTAGCGCTCAAGAGGTAGAGGAGCCAAATGGCTGGCTCACTGCTGCCAACTAGTGGTCAGAGGCTGAACTACAACATAAAAATGAACGGTTGGCAAGAAGGTTGACATTTTAAACCTTAATTAAAAATCGATAATAGGGCTTTAGAATATCGATACAGTATCGGGAAATGAAATATCGCGATATTTCAGTGTATCGATATTTTCTTACACCCCTAGAGCACACCGTACATTTACTACTGTCACATAAGGAACAGTTTTAAAAATGACAATAGCTAGTTTATTTATTCGCATTTGTTAAACTAGTTAAATTATTGCAGACTTTTTTAACGTGACAACTGTGGTTGAATTCATACTTTTGTCACTTTATCCTTTTGCATTTTGGTTACTTCATGTTCACTCTTGCATACAGGAGGGTGAAACTGTTGATTTGAGCACTGTTTAAATCTAATTTATTGTCCTGCAAGGTGTCAGAAAATCTTTGATTTCTCTGAAAATGCTTGAATGGTGTTTAAATTCAACTTTAAAGATCATGTAAGAACATTTTCACTCTCCACGGAGTAATTTACAAACAAAACTGAATATTTCCTTGACTTCTCCTCCAGCTCACAATTAACAATAAACACAGCTATAGTTTACATGCATAGGTTTTATATGCAACATTCATTCACCAAATTCCACAGGAATGTAAGTATTCTAAGATAAGGATGATACCATTTTTAAATAAATTATTTTCTAAAACTTTTTTTTTGTGTGCGTGCAGATAATATCGCCCACAACCTTGTTTTTGGCTGCAAAGGTGGAAGAACAACCCCGTAAGCTTGAACATGTGATAAAAGTTGCACATGCTTGCCTAAATCCGCAGGAGCCACCTCTAGACACAAAAAGTAATGTAAGTTTGGGTATAATCGGGATATTGTAAGTTTAAAAGTTGTTTTTCTCCTGTTGTCATGGATTCACCTATGTTTAAATGGCTGTGACCTATTCTGCTGCCCTCCTTATGGGGTTTTATTTTTCCTGCCCTGGCTTGCAGTTGGTGTGTACCCAACACCCACTCATATCAAGACTCGATTTTTTTACTAGACTGAGTCTGTGTTTGGCTATTTTAAAACACTTGTTAGGGGTATAGATTAATAGACTCATTACAATTGTGTTGTAATGATTGTCTATCGAACTTTAGGCATACCTCCAGCAAGCTCAAGAGCTGGTGATACTTGAATCCATAGTGCTGCAGACCCTGGGTAAGTAATGGTGAATGACGTGGATGACTTGAGAGAACTTTGTTTATACTGATGATTACTGGTTAATTATAAATAAAGGTTTACTGTAATTTATTTATCACAGCCTTTTTTAATTAAATGTTTGGTCATGTACTGTTAAATTGTCAATCTTGTCGTGTAAAGGTGATATGTTATTTTTTTAAAAGTCCGTATTAGTTGGGAAATGTAATATTTCTGAGGCAATGGAGACATTTTACAAGATTTCTTACTCAAATTCTGCCTCCTTATTTGAAACTACATTCAAAACTTAAGATTTCTGTCCTCCATAATTAAAATGTTTGAGTCGCTTGCTTCTAAATGTAAAATAATTGACTGTCAAGTTCATATTTGGGTCAGTAGTTTAAATGGGGGGGGGGGGTGTGCGCGCTCAGATTGTTGGTGGAAATCCTAAAATGACATGTCACCTCCCAACTGTGTTTGTGTTGAACTCACCTGTTATGTATTTTGTTCCAGGCTTTGAAATTACTATTGATCACCCACACACTGATGTGGTGAAATGTACCCAGCTAGTGCGAGGTAGAGGCTTCTTTCTTTGCTCTTGTTTGTCCCACCTCAAATGTGGGTGGGGATAAGGGTGAAAACCATGCTGATTTATTGGTCTCCTGACCACAAATACCTTTTGATCTCCTGCTGAGTTTGTTGTATGACCCAAAAATAAAATAAAAACATAAAACAATGCCTATTGGGCCAAGACAAACTGAATTTTGACCATCTCTGCTTTATAAGAAACGTGTTTTCTGTAATCACAGAAATGAAAGAATACTAATTTTGGCTTTTAGCTACACTTGTTTTCTTAAAAAAAAATTGCTGACCCAAAAGATGTCTTGAAATCATCTTTTTATGGTACAACAGATTTAATGATCATCAGTTTTAAATTTCCTTCACTTTGTTTTTGGTGCAACTTTTATCAAAGAAATGTGGTTATCTTCTCAGTTTTAGCCTTGGCCTAATCAGTGCATTAGAAATTAGTTTAAAATTAGAACGTTTAAGTTTGTGTACCTTCATTTGTAGCCATTATAATAATTTCCCCTTTCTGTTTTTGTGCTTTTTTGTTCCCTTTCCACAGCAAGCAAGGATCTGGCTCAGACTTCCTATTTCATGGCTACCAACAGGTTGTTATCCTGCCCCTCCTTTATTGCACTTTGACTGCACACCATAGCTTCCTGTAATGCAGGGTACCCTTTCAGTGTCCAACTGGCCCTACTTGCACTGGTGGTTGTTGGGACGCTTGCCTCCTCCCCCTCAGCTCCCCTCCCTTTGTCAGAGGTAGCGGGACACGGTGGCTTGTAGCGTTACCGGCCCCAGTCGCAGTGCGGTGTATTGTACAAGGGACCACTTGTTGGCACAGATGGGTTGAATGCAAAATGCGAAGTGTAGTGGTGCGCTTGAAAACCACTTATTTGTTCGGTTGCGAAAAAGTGCATAATTCTAAAAGACACTCTGGTAGCCTGAATATCAGCTAAAGATTTCACAGATGTAAACATTTCTCGTAGAGGTCTTTCCGGTAAGTACTGCAGATAAATTTTTGACATTTTACTTTGTTCAAATTGCATAATTTCTCTAAATATTGTTCATTGCTTTTTGTTAAACACAATTTTTTTTCTAGCCCTTCAATATTTTACATTTACATCAAATGGATCAGAAATTAAACAATTATTAAAAATCTTAAGAGTTTTAGGCATTCATCTTTTAGCAGGGATTAGTCCAGTTTATCTGTGCCATGCCATGCAGGGACAACATATAGTTAGTTTCTGTTCTCTGTACTCCTGTACCTTATTTTTCTGTAGAATTGTTCTTTATTACTTTCCTGTTGCAAGTGGATATGCCTTTGGGCTGTTTGAAGAAGCACCAGCTGCTTTGTTCTAACATTTTGCAACATCAGACACTCTAGGTCAGTTCTAGTAGCATTAATGTCACTTGAAATAATGAACAACTTCGAGTTGTATTTTGTCACGCTGAGGGCGTGAGTGTTAATTTTTGCATTTGAACATGCTATAAAATAACATAAATTTACTCTCTGATTTGTAGTGGTTTGATCAAACATTGATATGTTGGCTTTTCAACTGAAAAACAAACAGGTGTAGCCCACAGTAGCCCTTTGTTGTGGCCCAAGATGGATTTGCATTAAGATTGCAAAACAGTTCTGGGTGAATGTGTCCATGACTACCTCTGACTCAGAATCCAGTCCGTTCAGGATGTGTTTACAGTTAAAATCATTTATGTTTCCTCGTGGTCCGTTCACTCAGAGTGCATGTTGATGCCAGATGTGAACAAAGGCAACACATTTGGTTTTGGTCAGCTGTAAAAGCACTTATAGCATGGATAGCATGGCATGGCACATTATCCCCCTTATTTTAGTTTTACCCAAACCTATATTACACATTACTGATCTACTCATCATGTGTACTTGTCGATTTGGTTTGATAATTCCTCTAAAGCAAAGATAAATCATATTATATTTTTACTATAGAATATATTGGACAGTGGATAATTGAATTGTGCTAACCCACTCATGGCTACAATATAACTTTTTTTTTTTACTACATAGACTTTTGCATTTAATTTATTTGTGTTGACCAACAACAATAACTTTGTTTAATGGCATTGTTATCTGACTACCACCAGACACCAGATTTTGTTTATCTTAATGATTATGTTCATTCCTACCAAATATATTTCTAAAATCTTAGTTTTATAATGTCATTTATATCCAGCCATGTGTTCAGGTATAGTGCGTAGTATACTTGGTGATTAACTGTTGTTTTCACCAAAGGTAAACTTGTGTTCATTCTACTAACAAAACACTGAATCACTATAGTTTTAAATTGTTTTGATAAACCTTCCTGTCTGTAACATAGCTCTTAACATTTAATTTGTTGCCATTGTTTCTGTTTGTGAGTTGCTTTGTTGAATTGAAGTGCTAGTTATTAGTTTAGCAGTTTAACTTTGTGTGGTTCAATGTTACATATCAGGTCTTTATGAAATATAAGTGTCATTGTAGCTGAATTTCATCACAAATATAATTCTGTATCAAACACTAGAACTGTTAAATGCTTACTTTAATTGAAAGCATTCTTTTTTATTTGAACATAGTTGATGAAATATAATGTAAATATTTATTGTAACTGGTCAGTGTGTTTAACGTCTGGTAGAAACTTCATTTTTATTGTCCAGTTAAACAGTAGGATTCTGTGTATGAAAAAGATCAGTAGAGCTTACTTGCATTTGCTGTAAATATGTTTTGAAAGTAATTAATGTTAAATAACTTGGTTATATTTACAGACATTTTAATGTAGCTGCAGATTTTGATCTCAAGCTATCAGTCTATTAAAACTGTCTGCTTCTTTTTGTGCGCTTTCTTTATTTTTTTCTCCACATGTGGGATGGATTATGACCTCCACTGGCCTGAATTATTCCCCCGTGTCCTGACATTCTACAGTCTTCACCTCACTACCTTCTGCCTCCAGTACAAGCCCACGGTGATTGCTTGTGTGTGCATACATTTGGCATGCAAGTGGTCCAACTGGGAGATTCCAGTTTCTACTGATGGGAAACATTGGTGGGAGTATGTGGACAGCTCTGTCACTCTGGAGCTGCTTGACGGTGCGTTCACTTTAACATAATAATATGTTTTCAAAACTTTTATAGCTTTCCCAACATCTTTCTTTTAGTGTGTGTATTTGTCCCTCATGAAGCACATTTTATTAAAGATTTCATGGCATAGTAAATTGTATCATGTGAGTTTATTAATATAATTTTTTATATTTTGTACTTTCAGAGCTGACCCATGAGTTTCTGCAGATTCTAGAGAAGACTCCAAGCAGACTAAAGAGGATACGAAATTGGCGGGTAATATATTCTAATGCATTTCCTTTCAGTATTTGATTTATGACGTATGTGGCTCATCACATCGAAATGAGGATTAAGTCCAATAGTGGAAAATGGAGAAATAGGCAGATATAGGGTTTTGATTTAAACGTGTGCAAAAATTGCGTTTTGTCAAAACATTATGAATTATCAATTTATCATTTGAAGGAATTGTTTTTTTTTAGTAATTGTCTGAAATGTAATCCTAAAAATTTTTTGGAAGTACTTTTTTGAGCAGTAGCAGCAAAAAACCTGATTTTGAGGAAAAATGCCTGAAAATTTTGTATTTTTCCTCTGTGAGCTAGAAATGTTTTTGTTTCTTTCCAACTGGGAAATCTTAATATACAAAGAATATTTGAGGTTTCCTCTTTTATATTGATATTAGAAATGACTCATATTTACATAAAATAAGGATTCAGACTAAATAATGTATTATCATAACCAACAAGACAAATTAAGTCATATCTCTGGATCCACGTTTAATAGAATAATCCATGTATCAAAATGTAGCTTTTAAAGCAGGAATCTGAAAATGTAATTTGGTCATTATGAACAAATTTGACTTAATCCTCATTTCAATATGATGGGTCACAGATGTCATAGTTAAAATAGTAAAAATAAAATTAGTTGAAAAATGTGGCTAGCTAATTGTAGGTGCAATTCTGTATTAATGCAATAATTTAAATCACATTTTCCCACTATTTCATTATCACCAATAAACTAATTTAAAATATAATAACATCCTTGCTATTCTTTTTGTCTTCTAGGCAACACAAGCTGCCAAAAAGCCCAAGGGTGATTCCACACAGTCAACAGACAACTCATTTGTTGGACCTTCGATGCTTCAGGATCACGGTGACGTCTCACTTTCTGAAGCCTCTTCGTCCAACCTAACTTTATCCAAAGCAGGCTTCTCCGTGCCCATGCCTGGCCATTCCAGGGGAGTCCCCTTTTCTCTGGACACCATCACTGCCACATACAACCCTGCTAGCCATAACGAATGGTCTCAGGGTAACCAGAGCCAAGCCGGGTACCCTTCCACTTGTGTAAAACAGGAACCTCTCAGCATCCCTGTCCAAGAATCCATGTTTACGTTGCAGGCTTCCACTTCCTCTCTGCTTCAGCATCCACCGCCTTACAGAACTGATAAAACGGTAGATTTAAATGTTGTCAAACAAGAGCAGAAAGAAGCTGCTGGAAGTGGGCAGAGCAAGCACCCTTCAGCACCTCAGTCTGCCTACTCTCTGCCAGTTCAACTTCCTCAACCACAACCTTTAATTCAGAAGCTGACTTTAGACAAATATCGAGAGAAACACACCGCTGAGCTGACTGTCCCTGTTCATAAGCGAAGACAAGAACTACATGGAGGACTCATGGACTGTGACTTGAAAGGGGATTTGACATCTTCCACCTATGTACCTTCCAGCATTAGCCAAGTAGATCATAGAAAGCATGTGCAGCCCCACCAAAGCTCTCATGTTGGCAATATCACAGCTTCCCCAATGAAAATGAAAGCTCCTTCCTCTTCAGCCTCGGGACAAGATTGGCGCCATCATAGTGACAAACGGGACAAGGCTGCTCTCAAAGTTCGTCTCGCTGTTCCTGGGTCCAGTGGCGCTTCCCAACCAGAGAAAAGCGGACAACCCGGCAAAGATGAGCACAAGATGAGGATAAAAGTGTCATCCGAGCGCCACAGCTCATCAGATGAAGGCATGACCGCCAACAACAACAAGACTAAACATTCCAGCATGTTGGTGAGCAAGGAGAAGCATGGTGGAGCGGAGTACAACCTCCACCGCCCCCACAAACACAGTGGCATTGGTCGAGGAGGTTCTGAGGGCTCGGGGGGAGCTGTGGGTCTGCTGTGCGGTCCTCCGGGTTTGGTCCCCATGGAAGGAACGACGCTTAGTCATCCTGTTTCCACTTCTCTGACGTCGTCGTCACGCAGAAGAGCGTACCCCGAGGGCAGCTATAACCACCACCTTTCATCCTCGTCTTCGAGCTCTTGCTCTAAAGTGAGCAAAATCTCCAAAGGTGCTGCTGGTGCTGCAGGTACCTTATCCTTTTCTTCCCCTTTGTCTCCTTGCTCTTCTCCTGTACTGCAGTGTGTCTCATCTGACTCCCAGCACTGTGGCTAACTCCCCTCCCACCCTCCTTCTCCTCTTTATTCTTGTTTCTCCTCCTCCCCTCCTGTCATACCCAGGTGGGCTGCGGGCCTCTCAGCAGTTTCCTCCTCCTCCTCCTAACGAATCGCCACATGAAGTGGGAGAGCAGAGACACTGAGTCCAGCACTCTGCATGTGTCCAGCACAAGGAAATGGCAAGAAACTACCCACAGTTCAGAATTTAAGGACTATGCTCTCCTTCTTGTCAAGTGCCCTAAGAAAAATAACTTTGTGCTGATAAACCCTTTACTGAGAAGCAGAAAACCCCCTCTGCCAAAAAAATAAAAAGTATTGTTGGACTTCTCAACTCCTGAGAGACAAGCTAGATGAATACTTATGCTTCCTGTCTCACTTTAGGGCTGTGATGTCCAGTCCTGTGTGTTAGTGTCGAATTGCTGCTTGATTATCCTTTTCTCCTCAAATGGGTCGAAGAATGTGCAAAAACGGATGATGGGGAAGTGTTGAGTGCATCTCCATGACGGAAAGTCCCTTTTTCAATATGTAAAACCTCAATATGGGAAAATAATTTTTACAAGTTCTATAAAAGCATGGAAGATGCACTTTTTTCATTTTTTTTTTTTGTTACTAATTTAAATAAATCACCTGTGTGATTGTATGGAAGAAGTTTTGCAAGCAGGAGATGTGTTCATTTGATTGCTGACGTTTGAATCCTGTTGGATGGATGCAAAGTGTTCTTTGTAAAATTTCATCTCCTTTGTTTTTTGTTTTGTTTTGGTTTCTTTTTACACTAAAATACTGTGCATTTGATTTGCATGTTTCAGTCATGAAAGGGATTTAAAAAAAAGAGTACTGTTGCTGTTTACAAATAATGGAGATAAATGTACATACATTTTTGTATGTTTAAAGAAAAAAGCTATTCCATGACTACTCAGGTTTGGAGCTGCTTGTAATTATAACAAAATAACTATATCTGTGAGTTTTTATTTTTTGTGGATCAGTGGATTGGGTGTCATCGGGGAATGGTGGCAGCATTCCAGTGCTTTGTTTCTTACATATTTTTATTTAGATTTGGTGGTGCACTATAGGTTTTAACCACAAGAAACATGCATTTGATTTCAGTTGCCACATACGTTAATCACCAATTTATTACGGCAATGAGAGAGATGTAATTTTTACCAAAAAGCTTTTAACCTTCAAGTAGACCTTAAGCTGAAAGCCAAACGTTGTGCCTCCTAAAAAAAAACTATCTGTAATGTATTACCATGACACATTTAAGTACTATCATTCACAGAGCAAAAGGGGGAAAATATGTATATTCATATAGTCTTATCCCTATAATTTCATGCTGTTTTACAGCAGTGATGGCAGATTCAAGCACCACTTTGTGTCAACCCAAAAGTGACTTTAATATCACTGAAGTTATCCATTGCTCTAAAGAATTAGGATGACTTTTTGTCTGTACTGTGTTCAGAGCATACAACTTCCCTAGAGTGTTTGAATCAGAATTACACAAGGGTTTTAGAGTTTGGCCAAAATAACAGCAGTGGTTTAGAAGAAATAAAGTAAATAAGCCACAAATCACTTTATCGGTCCTTTTTGCATTTCAAGAACTTAAATAAACTTCAGCCACACTGATAGTATCAATCTGGTTGTTTTATTACATGTACTGCTACATAATTTCTTAATTCCTCTGGGGGTAAATAAACTGTCTAGATCATTTAGTAGCAATAAATAAGTACTGCCATTGTGTTTGGTTCATACATGCTGTACATTCCTGGTATGTACCAGACTGTACTGTCTGAGTACTTATCCACAGCATTGTTAAAAACAAAGAATAGTAATCTGAAACGTTATTGTGTAAAAAAAAAAAAGAAAATTATATATAAATATAATATACCCCACATGTTAAAAATTCCACAACATATATATTTACAGTCAAGATTTTAAATTTAACAATACACAAAATTTAATAAAATAGTCTAATTTAAGTTATAAAAATGTATTTACCATTGTATTTGACCATTTGAAAGATGTAAACCAGGGGTCTCCAACCAGTAGCTCCTGGGCTCATTTAAAGTAGCTCTTCAGTGCTTATGGAAAGTTAGGAGAAGCTAAATTTAATTTGTCACCGACCAAACTTTAATTTAACCCCAATCAGTCTATAGATGTTCCTTCCCCTTGGTTGTCAAACACTTTAGGGCTCAGTATGGTCGAATTGGCAGACGGCGCACAGTTACGTGGCTGTTCGGCATTTGTTTTCACACACCTTTCATAGATCCTTGAGACAAACTGTGCCAAACTCCTGGGAAACCCCTGCTGCAGTATATGTCACTGGTTTCTTCCCACGGGGGGAAAAAATCAACGTTATTTGTGCACAAATCTGTTGCAGTTAAACCCTAAATTATTAGTGTAAATATAATATGAATGGATAAATGTTGCAAAAAGTAGCTCTTGGAATATTTCAGTTTKTGAAAGTAGCTCTTGAGAAAAAGGTTGGAGACCCCTGGTGTAAAATGTTTTAAATACACAAATACCACAGAAYTTAAGGCTCAGTCTTGAGTCCATCTATCACAAGTATTGGGTCAGCAAAAAAAAGTTTTGATAAAGTATTTTTAAAATCCTTAAGTATTCTTTTAGGCCATCTGATCAGCAGAACTGGTGCTGCAGGGAAGGCCTAATTGAGCCAACACACCTCTGATCACAGTGAAAGTGTTGGTTCATATAAACATAAGGACTGGACATGAAAGTTGGAGTCTGCTATAAATTTACAAACGTGTTATTTATGCAGTCCTACGATCATATTTTTCTGCATTACCCAAGATTTCATATTTGTCTCCTTTTGAGGAATGAATGGATGTTTTAGGAGCTGTCCGGCTGATGGTCGTAGTCTCTGGTCACTAAAATAAGGAAAAGCATTTAAAAAATTGAATCAGTGACTGTTTCACACAGTAGATTTTCACTACTACAGTTTTGATGTAATTGCTTACCTAGTTAAACATAYTTTTACAAAGTTTTTGGCACTCTCTGAAAACCCATCTGGCAACACTGGCATCGACCCTCTCCTAGTCCCAATGTAGAACAAGGCAGCCATCTTGTCCATGTGTGAAAGTGGTGGTTTTCCTGTGGCCATTTCAAACACCGTGCAACCAACACTCCAAATATCTGACTTCCTGCCGTATCCTGACTCGTTGATAACCTAAGAGAAGTTTAATGGTTAGAACCAACGAAACACTTTAAACAAATACTAAACATATGATTTACCTCCGGTGCCATCCAATAAGGTGTGCCATGGACGGACTTAAGCAGCTCACTGTTGCAAGCCGTGGAGTTTAAGCAACTGAGGCGCCGTGCACAACCAAAGTCGATGAGCTTTATTACACCGGTTGGCATCAACATGACATTGTTTCCCTTTAAATCTCGATGAATCACTTGGTTCACGTGAAGATATGCCACGCCTTCGAGGATCTGGTGAGTGTACAGAGCCAGAACTCGCTCTGGCAGAGGACCAAATCTAGAGAYGTTTGGAGAATGAAGACATCTGTAACCTTTGTTAAATAAATTTCAGGAATTTTATCATAAGCAAAGAATATTCAACCTGTGAAGTATGCTGGCAATKGATCCTCCTGGGATGTACTCCATGAAGATGGAAACTACATGTTTGTATAAGGAGGTCCCCAGGAAGCCAACTATATTGATGTGTTGAAGGGTTTTAAGTAATTCCACCTCCCTCTGAAGATGACCGTACTCTTGGTTTGCAGTGTCAGGGTCAGAGGAATCCAGGTTAACCTGCTTCACTGCTATCAGCTGGCCCTGGTTGGTCAGGCCGCAGTACACCTAAGAAAGATGTTTATTGGATGTTTTCCTATGTGTGTGTAACATCGTACTGTTGTAGCATGAACAACTGTGACTCCTGACATGACCTTTTGACCATGTCAAGGGTCACGGTCATTCATGCTACACTGGTGACTTCAAAACTAATACTGAAATTTACAAATACTGTTAAAACTTCAATATTTTATGAAAATTTTGTATTTTTACTACACTATTATACATACTGTGCCATAAGCACCCTTGCCAAGTACTTCACCCTTTGTCCATGTGATGGTGTCAACACCCAACTCAGAACCAGGATCAGAGTCACTTTTTTTTGGAGAAACCTGGAAAAAAAAACATGAATTAGGGGACTAAAAATAAAATTTTAAAAAGTTAAAATGAAAGAGTAAATTAAACGAGCAGCTTTAAATTTTGGTGAGTAAAATTAGTTATTAATATAAAGACAAGTCTCTTTCATTGTGGATGTTGCACAACAAACTTTTTTTTTTTTTTGTTATATCTAAGCATTTGATTAAAGTATTAGCTGTACCAAAATATAAAGTTAGGAAAAAAGAAGTGCAACATCAGGGCTGTTCAACTAAATTTCTCTGGGGGCCACAGTTACTGCAGGTCAACAGCTCAGGGGCCAAACATGCAGCATTTAAAGTCATTATGTAAATAAACCAAATATCACAAATATTCGTTACTTTTGAAATAATTTATTTTGCTGCATGTAACCATGAATATAACATACAGAATCCTATAACAAAAGTAGTGATAATAAAATAATGTCAAAAACTAAAATAACACGTTTTGCCTCCTATTTAATACAAATACTATTTTGACATCTCTGACTTGCCAAATTTTTGGACCAATTTTATTTTCACTTTCATAGTTTTATTTTCTACTGCTTGTGGTTTTAACTGTCTTTGGTRTTCATTGTAATGTTTTTACAATTCTAGCCAAGATTCTGACGTTTTTTTTTCGAAACTACATGTCTATGTTTAACTAAAAAAAAAACGCATGGTAATTAAAGTAGAAAACCGGCGTTTTCCGCAGTGGTCCGCAGGCTCGATGTGGCCTGCGGACCACCAGTTGAAGAGCCCTGATTTAGACAGTACTTGTTTTCCCTTGGAGTTTTTATTTTATTTTATTTTTTTCATATTCATCATAAACCAAAAAAAAAAAGTTTAGAATCAAATCATATACCTCAGGAGATTTACAAGGTAAATTCAAACATTCCAGTTTTTCTTCTTGGTTAAACGCTTTTCTCTTTTGCTTGGGATTGTCAGACCCCGTCGATGATTCCCTTTCATCCAGGAAGATCAGCTCTTCAGCCAAACACTGCAGTAAGTCGTCTGTGAGCGGCCCGTCGCCCACCTCGTCCAGAAACCTTTGGTAAACTGGTGACAAAACGCTGTGGCGGCTGCTGCTCCTCCATCTGTCGATCTTTGGCTCTGAAACCGGTCGGGCCGAGTTTTGTGTCGAGGTGTTTAAAGCTGTTTTGTGGTTTTGCATGAAAGTGTAATCTACGACATAAATGAAAGAAGTCGATGTTGTCAAAGTTTCTCCTGGTTTTAATGTGTCAGATCCATATTTGGAAGCAGCTTCTTTCATGGTTGACGATGCGTGATCGTCACTTTCATCCTGACTGTCAGTGTCCTCAGAAGAAAGTGGCTCAGCTTGTAGTTYAGCACTTTCTGTGTTGCAGACGGCATTTTTTGTCACAGCAAAGCGAGGTTTAACTCTAGGTGGCATGGGTTTTGGTTTTCTTTTATTTAAAGTGGTTGTCGTCTCTCCGGAGCTTCGCTTCAGCTTCTGTACCGTTTTTAACGACCTGGGTTTGACACTGTGGCTCTGTTTCGTCTTTCTCGTCGCAGCGCAGGGTAATTGCTTCTCGTTAAGTTTCTCACAGGAGCTGGAGATTCGCAGGTTCTCAAAAATACGACCAGCAAACATCTCGTAAACGTCTGGCCCCACATCATCGCTTTGTATCTGCAGAAACGAGTCTTTGTTTGTAACGAGGCCCACTGCAGATTTAGATCTTGGGTTTTTCCCACCGACGTCAGGTTTCTTCAACTGCTGGGCACTTTTTAGTTCTCTCACTGGTGCCTGCTGATGTGTTTGTGAGAGTTCAGAGACCCTGCTTGGTATTGGGGTGGGGATGCTAAAACCAGCACTGCTGGCAGATTTTATTTTTAACTTGTCATTAGCCAAAGGAACGATCGCATCAGGACTTTTCCTTGTTTTATCTTTGACATCTGTGGAAACTTCAGGACACTTCAGTTTGATTTTGGACTTATTAATACCTAAGATATTTGGATTCTTATGTCCTAACATTTTAAAAGATGTATTAGTTTGAATATTTGTCCTCAGCTGACCATTCATGCTGATTCTTCTCTCTTTATTTCGGACTGACTTTAGGGCTTTAAACGTCCTTTTGTCTTTCATTGGATTCACAACAAAGAACCTGCTTTTCTCCTCATTAGTACCTGTATTTAATTTAGCATCTGTTGCGCTGGTTTTGTTATCACAGGACTCATTTCTCATACTCATAGCATCATCCAGATGATTGTTTACATCAGCTATGTGGCTCATTTCATTTTTGAGTTTAGTCGTACCATCTACGTTCCTCTCTTCTCTGGGCGGTGATGTGATAAGGGTTTGATTGTTCTCAGAAATCGAAACGTCTCCTTTTTGAACACAGTTAAAAACATCTGAGGACTCAGTTTCAGCGAATTCTTTTGTGTGATTCATATTGTTTGCTTCACATTGAGGGTTCTTGGGTTTTTCTTTGTGGAAATGATGGTCCCTGTCTTTATTATGTATCGATCTGTTGACCAGTGGAACCAGACTGATCCTTGGCTGAACTTTCAAATGCTGCATTTTCTCTCCCCAAAAGTCTTCCTCGGATGAAATCGCATCGTTTGAATGTTGACCAAACCCATCCCCGGAGATCCTCGGAGTTCTGCCTTTAGGAGCCGTCTCATGAAGTTGTCTCTCATCATCGTCATTCTCGAGGCTGATGGAACTCTGGTTGCTGTTGCTGCTGGACCCACTTTCTTCACTCCCTGCCTCGTTGACGGGAGGACTATTGCACGGACTGACCCAGGATGTCCTGTCTCTCAGCTGGGTCCTGGAGCAATGTGGACTCTGGCTGATGGGCTTCAGAGGGGTATGTTGCTGTAGCACTGGCAGAGCTTTGCTGACTTTGGGTCGGCCATCCAGGGGTGCCAAGACCTTGGGTGTTCGGGAACGCAAAGCTGGCCAAAGATCCTGTGAAAACAAAAGATGGTTACAACTGATGGCGCAAACTGTTCCAAATGTTAAAGGGGCAATATCATGTAAAATCAACCTTTTTTTTAGTTTCATATCATGTTATAATGTTATACTCTCCTAAAAACATGCCCAAAGCCTTGCTTTGACTCATTCATGCATGTTTGAGAAATCCTGCAGCGTTTTTAGGAAGCCATGCGGAGGAGCAAAACGACAGGTGGGGATCAGAAACGCCCCTGGGACGTGTCTTTAAGCCGAACTTCCTCGTGGCAGAGCGCACCCGCCCCACCCCACACACCCCGCCCATGACTCCTGCAGGCTCTCGGCAGTAACAGAGCAAAATGAAAGTGAAACTTAAACTGTCTGCTGCTTTCAACACTACTGCTCACTCAGTGAAGCTCTTTTCTACGTTCCCTCACAAAAGTTGTTCAACATTGTTGTGCCTGCCGGTTTAATAATAAAGTTACGTTTACCATTAGCAAGTTAGCCTATATTGCTTTAATTCAGCTTCAGAATGAATATATCACACAGCCACACATGGAAGTGTCATATACCGATATTTTAACACAGTGCAGCCA